CCAGCAGAACTTGACTTTAAGTTTGAAATAGGTTTTCAAAATGGCGGCCGTGGCGGCCATATTGGATTTCTGATCGACCCGAAAAATAACAACACTTTGTCAGGACCATGAGGCGATCATTCCTACCAACTTTCAGTTCAATCGGCCCAGCAGAACTTGACTTTAAGTTTGAAATGTAAAATGTTAACGGACGACGGACGACGGACGACGGACGAAAACGGATAGCAATAGGTCACTTGAGCTAAAGCTCAGGTGACCTAAAAATGACACAATAGTTATTATTGTACTGAGAGAAAGCAATATCCCTGGATAACCCTTGCTGTTGCTGCTTATTCAGTGCAATTTTGTTACATTTCTTTTAAGGAAAAAAAGAAAGTAGAAAGTAAATACTCAAAGGATACCAGCAAAATAAAAATATTGATCAAACTCTTACTTTGTGCTTGAGTCCTTTATCTGTTGTTGCAAAAACCTGAAATAAGATGCAAATATCAATATTAAGATTGTGGTTACATAATATAATCACTAAACAAATGTATCCTATTATCTCATCACCTAGATATGATACTGTGCTTTCACTGTATGTACATCTGTCTCACATTACACAGCATTATTATAATAATTGGGTTTGAACTTTTGTTTGCTTACCATATTTTCCCTGTGATATGCCCAGAAAAGCTGTGCAAAAATTACTTACAAATTAAAAGTGGCAGTGGTAACACGTTCTTTGCATGGAAGGAGGAGGGGGAAGTGGGGAGGAGGAGAAAGTGGGGGNACACATACTATGGCAGCATCTGCCTCGTATCCATTGGTGATCCAGGCCTTGGTTCCATTGAGTACCCAGGAGTCCCCATCAAGCTTGGCAACGGTGGAGGCTGCTCCGGCATCACTGCCATTTCCTGTAAATAACACAAATCAATTCTACACTAGCATAGGTAGAGGACTTTTCTTCTTACACAAAAAGTAACTTCCCAAAGCTATTTCTGCAGATGTCCATAGCTATCTATGTAACTGCTCAAAGCTTTCTCTCAAACTGCTCTGTTGTATGGCCATCTATCTTAACAGAGATGACTCAGATACTATTCAAAGAGCAATACTATATCAAATTATAAGTATCAATATTCAAACATTTATCTTCTACATGACAGAAAAATTAGTCTTATTCTGTGTTAAGGTCATAGGAGTGTATTGCTAAACAGAAATAGGAAGTAAATCCCTTGTTGAAAATCCAATGTAGGGAAACAGTATCACAATTTCTGCATATTCTAATGTATAATATTAAACTGAAGAATATTATATGTTTATTATTGACAGAACAGTGTGTTCTTTCAATATTAAAGTATTTCAAAGCAATCCAGACATTAATTCAGTTGTTTTTTAATCAATGAGTCACATGTGTCCATTTTTCTGTACTTCAGGAAACCGACTACCTATTTCACTACTTTGAAGTTTTTCAAGAACGATAACTCTTACATACAATTATTATGTGCATATAATGTCAATTTTTAATCGTTTATAGATAATTAATTGTACATAATTCAGCATTTATAAAATTGATATACATTAATGCAATACTAACCTATGTCAGTATCATTTTTATTGACATTTTTTGCAAAAAATTGTGTTTCATTTTTTTTTCAGAATTCATTCCTTTTTACATAAATTCCCATTTAAAATCCGTAAAATTCTGACAATCTATATTTTTTTGTGGCAGAAAATTTTCTTTACTTCAAAGCAATATAACTACAAAATTTGAAGAAATTCTACTGAGAAATGGTGACACAATCCTATTACCTTAGATGATGTATCACTGTTATCACTGTAAATAAGTTTGGTAACATACAAACTGGCATCAGTTTACACACAGCAAGATTCAACATTCAGAGAAATAGAATGTATTTTCTCCGATGGAGGCAAAAAAAAATTGTACATGGTTCTTAAACATACAGATTTCAATATCAAATTTCAGATGTATTACCTGGTTCACTGAGTGCAAAGCAGCCAACTCGGTCACCACTAAGGAATGGATGTACAAACTGTTCCTTCTGTGCTGGTGTGGCATACTTATTTACTGGTCCTAGGTACAGGGACTGTAAAAATACATGTAACAGCATGTATCAAAAGTTATAGATAAATCCACTCCTTTCTAGTTTAATATCAGTCAGCATTTGCATCTAAATCTTACACTTTTTCATGACGCATTTCAATACAATATTGCAAACTTTTAAAAGCACTTAATTTTTATTCTGACTAAGAGCTTCAATGTATATCATTTTATATGAGTTATCTGGATCAAAAGCATCTAACAGGATTAAATTGAAGAGTGAGCCTATTCTATAGACATATTTCCTTCTTAAAGAAACTATCGGTGATAGATGAGTGAAAAGTAATTCATTCACAGTGGACTTATTTCTTTGAACCAGAAAATAACCGAAATTAATAAGAACCCATACCCTCGGGTACTTACATTGTTGACACTCATTATACAACCCGTGGATGCACATCCTCGGCTAACCTCTTCCATAGCGATGGCGTAAGCCAGGTAGTCCAGTCCTGTACCTCCGTCCGACTCGGGTATGTCAACACACATCAACCCCATCTCTCCTAGCTTCTTGACCTATGGAAACACCACATCTCTCATTTTATCAAGCATATAGATACATAGTTACACATATAGACCAACACAAATGTTGTACAAGCCTCTAATTGCTGACTATTTGCAAATAGTACAGTAGTACAGGCACAATCATAATTTTGTAAACAAACTATTTTTTACTTTGGTTTTTCAAGTGGGTTTTTTCCAGATAACGGGTTGTTGGTGACTTATATATATGCAAACACCACCTCTGCTGAAAGATTATTTAAATATGTTTATTTGTATCAAATGTGTACAAATATACAGTGTAAAACACAATCTGATTAAAATCATATCCTACCTTCTCTACGTATCACGTTATGTTATATGTAGAGAATGTAAGATATGACTTTAATCAGATTGTGTAAAACAAGACACTTTATGCTTACCTCTTACATGTAGTGCTGATGTATCTCATCTTACAAGTACATGTTTATCTCTTAAATTGGTGTATAATATGAAAATACCAACTGTTGAGGTTGTTAATAATCTCTTTTTTTGTGGGGGGGGGGGGGGGGGGGGTCCAAATTGGAAAAATACATAAAGCCTAGGAAAGCCTGTGGATCTGCCGCTGGTTTTATTTCTCAGTGCAGATATCTTAAGGAAATTGCAGTTATAAATTGTCTTGTTATTATTTTAGTGAAGGACTTTATCCATCTGATCATGAAAGGCATGTATTTGACAGCTCCACCACATACAGGTAAAGTATCCGTCTTACCTGCTCTGCCGGGTACAGGTGTTCTTTGTCAAGCTTTGCTGCTATTGGTACCAATTCTTTGTCTGCAAAATCTCTCACAGACTGTCTTAACATCTCATGTGTGTCTGGTAAACTTGATAAACTAGACAGTGGTCTACTAGCAGCAAACACATCTGGCAAAAAAAAGAATATATATCATGATGACTATTTTTAAACATATTTCAATCGAATCTCTCAATCACATAGCTGCAGCACTATACTAAGAGAGTTCTTAATCAAACTTCAATGTTCTAGGCATTCTCGATACTCGAGAATGTTCTTTGAGTTAAGAAGTTTGGTGGATTAATACCAGGCTAGGTGTACTCTGCTGAATGCCTACCTTACATACAAAGTATATAAAGATGATGAGCAAATTTAAGACAGATCTTTGCTTCCGTGCATGAAACAATAAATAAATTTCCACTTAGGTAGGATACTTCCTTAACAAATATAATATATATAAAAAAATTACACTGTTGAACTACTTTCACTTCACAATTCAAAACGGATTGGATCATGATGCTTCGATATGTTTTCGTAAAGACGAAAAATCTTAAAATACAAAATAAGCAACAAACTGGACATAAAATGCAAACAAAGTGAAAACATCTGAAAATTTAGCTATATAGTCAAACTACTCAAAACCATAAGGTATCGAAACAACTTTTGGGCAGTATCAAAATGTCTTAACTAAACAAGCGGTTGGGCATCGTCGCATACCCACGACTGATTTCGCTTCACTACTCACCCGTAGCAAAGCGAAATCAGCCTTGGGTATCGGACGATGGCAGTTGGGGTATTAACTGAAATGGGAGTTGAATTACCGAAATGAAGGAAAATAGGCTTTATATTGGCATTAGCCATTATTGCCAAAGAGAAAAGGTAAAAATAAGTCACGATCTTTTACATATGCCCCCAACGATAACATTTTTTTTTCATGTAGCTCTGATGACGGTACCGAAAATTGTGTAGTGAATTGCGAAATTAGAAAAAAATAAACCCCCGATTTTTTACATATGCCTGTAATTGGTGATGAACAATGCATAGTTATAGGTCCATTCTCTTGAAGCAATATCAATTTAAAGTCCATTTCATTCCATTTCGGTTCATAACAACAAAGGTGTTTGCAATTCTGACTGTAAATTGAGATAATAATCATATAAAAATAAGGGTATTACTATCACACGGAGGGGTGGGGTGACATCTGTGATAACAAGTACAGAAACGACAGTACTGAAACGTCTGTAACATCAATGTTTTTGTATGTGTATGTCGGTCAAAAGGCTTGCAGTGCTTATGCTATTTTGTTCATAGAAACCCATCGACTCTAAACAAAAACTTTCTTATCTTTTATCTTATCAAACGAAGACGCAGTTCAAACACAAACTTTGGACGAACGTCACGAAGCCGGTTGTATAACCCCGAAAAAGAAAACAACAAAATCTAAGTATTTCGAAGCAGCATAGTACAGATATGAGAAGTATACAAAATTGGTCCAAACTTCATCGATTTGTGTCAAGACATGGCGAATAAACTACGTTATTTCATACTTTTTCTTGAGAGAATCCGCCCGTATCGCAGAAAAGTTCTAGCAGTCGCCATTGCGCCAGAGGTTACCTCCAAAATTAGAGAGTTCCTGGTGTCAAAGGACGCCGTGCATTCGACTAGGAATATTACGGAATACAGTAAGGAACGGCAACTCAAGATCTGGGTCGAGACAAATCATGGCACATGCAAGTGTACATACTCTTGTAAACAGTATATTGAGTAAAGAATACATATTGATACCTATCACGATATTGTGCAGAGACCTAAAATAAAAATATATGCCTAGTTAATTTGAATACACATTGAAACCACAGGGACCAATTTGTTACAGCTATTTGAACCCTATACTAATGTGTTCAGAGTGGTTTACACGTTGTAGGGGTTTATATCACGTAACATTGCTTTAAACACCTTATTTTAGCTGTAACGAATTATCAGGTCCTTTTCTCAAACTAAACCCATGAATTCATACTGTTCGAAAGTTTTTGAAGTTTAAAAAATGAAAATAACAAAAATGTTTTTTAATGCATTGTTTTTTAATTATGTTCGTTCGAGGCAAATTGCCTATTTTCATATATCATCATGTGTATGCGCTTAGACCGACGGTGACCAGTAAGACCGTAACTTTGTAACAACAGGATGGACTTTTTCGGTGACTTTCCAAAATTACATGTAATTCGGACATTGATCATAATGGATTTTTCGGAAAGGAGAACTTTGCAAGAGCAAGGCAACAACAACGCCATTGCCATGGCGATGCATTGTTGGCTGACAACCTCTAATTATATTACTTGATATAAGTAACAATTACCATATTGTAAATATATTGAATGCTACCTTTATTTAAAATCCTGTCAAAATGTATATAATGGTCGTTTCAACTAGGGCCGTTTTTACAGTGGGGCCGTTTTGGCCGTTTGACCTAAATTCCCTTTACATAACATCAGCTATAAACAGAAGTTCCCCAAACGAGTGACGGTTGGTTATCGTAATATCTTAATCGAGATCTACAATCAGAGCATGAAAAAGATCCACTCAGATAATAGTATAGGGGAAAGTAATTTTCATCATTTGTGTAAAGACACACTTACCGATTGACTTTTACAATTTATAAACTAACTAATTAGAATTAGAAAATTATGAAAAACAGTCGAGTTTAGAGACTTTTTTTTCTCCTATAGCGTTCATACTTTGGTATTATATCTTGGAAAGCATACGTTTCACTTTAAAATACAATATTTTTGTGTCCGATCGGGGAAACAACTGGAAGATGACGGTTAAAATAATTGTTATAAGTCGTCGAAATATGTATATAAATAAATCGGCCATTAAATAATTGTGTTACCCACTAGTGGATAACCATGAAATGTTATCAGATTCTAGTAATTACTTTTCTGTATCCAATACGTCGGAAGTTGAAGTAAATTGCGTTATGTTCGTAAAATTTAAAAAATGTCCTTTGAAATTTTGTTCCATAAAAAATACCTACTAAACTTCAGTATATGACCTGTCAATGAGGATGATTGATGAAAGCCGAGAGGGGCTGACATTGTAAGCTTTAACAGTTGTAAGCTTTACTATACCGGATGGTGTGACAACTTTACCGTCCTATTATTATATTATATACTATTTTTTAATCGTATTTGGTTATATTTGACCAACATTAGTTATCACGATATAGATCAGCATACAATTATGATGGACTGATCAGGGTGGGTGCCACAAGAAGATTTATAATGGCAGGCCGTAGTGTAGGGAAAGCGACGCTTCCTGGTTCAGAATAAGAGTTACTTCCCCTCTACCGTTATTGCAGCAAAAAGATCTTGGTTTCCAAGTCCGTGGTTTATATAAACATTAAAGATAGTTTCTATTCACACTCCTGGTGGCACAAAACTCTCGTTTCACGCTCTGTTCATACTTACATGTAATGCAGGTTCTTAATTTGTTTTCATTTACCTTAATAACCAGTGTCATTCCATATTTTTCGCTGATAACTTTCATTAGTAAATATAAAAAAGACAGTTTCTGAGCACTTAAAAATTAATAAAAGACATGTTACAGCCAAAACGAAATTTTACAATTCTGAGATTATACATGGATTTCAAATCACGTCTTCTCTGTGCCCATTATATACGTAGTCTTACCAGGGACGACATAGTCTTAATTTTCATTCCATGTCACTTTGTGTTGATATACTTGAGACATCTTCCTTTGTACCTAGAAGATGTTTCGTTGTTTAGTTCTGGATCGTCTGAACAAATCACAACGTACATAGTCCTAGAATACATGTACCAGAAGAAAATAACATTTAGCTCTCTTCCCCTATTTGGTTCCGAACCTCTACCCCTAGGGAGGACGCTCCCTTTGTTTAAATATCATTGAACACCACCCGCCCAGTAATGCTTCAGCCCGAAATTTCAAACCCCGTACTGAAGGAGTATCCTTATAAATGTTTAAGGTGCGGTAAGTACCGGTGAACGTAGTTCAAAGTTTCAAGTGACAACACCCCTTGTATATACAGCATGGAGTCCCCTTGGTCTTCCTGTGATGCTTAAGACTTTTGGACTAAAATCTGACCAGCCAATCAAGAGGGGATCTTTTAAAGGAAAAGTTGAAGGAGGGGTGCTTGACGACGGACGTCTTTCTATCGCTAATAAGTTTATAAGTTCCAGCCATGTGCAGGAACATGAAAGATATGATGACAGTGTTATCAATGACATGAAGACAGTAACATCAATGACATGATGACAGTAACATCAATGACATGATGACAGTAACAGAGATGGCATACTGACAGTAACAGAAATGATATTATAACAGGAACAGGAACGATATGATGACAGTGTTATCAATAACATGATGACAGTAACATCAAAGATATGATGACAGTAACATCAAAGACATGATGACAGTAACAGAGATGGCATACTGACAGTAACAGAAATGATATTATAACAGGAACAGGAACAGGAACGATATGATGACAGTGTTATCAATAACATGATGACAGTAACATCAAAGATATGATGACAGTAACAGAGATGGCATGATGACAGTAACAGAAATGATATTATAACAGGAACAAGAAAGATACGATGACAGTGTTATCAATGACATGATGACAGTAACATCAAAGATATGATGACAGTAACAGAAATGACACGATGACAGTAAAATCAATGACATGATGACAGCAACAGGGATGCCATGATGACAGTAACAGAAAACGACATGATGACAGTAACATCAATGACATGATGACAGCAACATCAATGACATGATGACAGTAACAGAAACGACATGATGACAGTAACATCAAAGACATGATGACAGTAACAGGGATGGCATGCTGACAGTAACAGAAATGATATCATAACAGGAACAGGAAAGACACGATGACAAAAATAGAAATGACATGATGATAGAAATCGGAATGGCAAAATGACAGTAATAGGGATGAAATGATGACAGTAACATGAATGTCACGACGACGGTAACAGAAATGAAACGATGACAGTGACAGAATGAAAATATAAGGAATAAAATCATGACAGTAACAGAACAAAAATATGACAGTAACATGAATGGCATGATAGCAGTGACAGGAATGATAAGATGCCAGTAACTTGATTGACATTATGATAGTAACAGGAATGACATGATTATTATAACAGGAATGAAATGCTGACAGTAACTCGAATGAAACGATGACAGTAACAAAAACGATATGTTGACAGTTACATGAACGACATATTGACAGTTACAGGACGTGTTGACAGCTACAGGAACGGCATGTTGACAGTTACAGGAACGACGTGTTGACAGTTACAGGAACGACATATTGACAGTTACAGGACGTGTTGACGGTTACAGTAACGGCATGTTGACAGTTACAGGAACGACGTGTTGACGGATACAGGAACGACGTGTTGACGGTTACAGGAACGACGTGTTGACGGTTACAGGAACAGCATGTTGACAGTTACAGTAACGACATGCTGACAGTTACAGGAACGGCATGTTGACAGAAACAGAAAGAGATGATGAGAGTAACAGGATTGATAAGATGACGGTAAATGGAATGGCATGTTGACATTTACAGGTATAAAATGCTGCAATCAACAGGAATAGCAGGATGTCAGTTTTTGGAATGACAGTAGTAACGTGAGTGACATGATTACAGTAACAGGAATAATGATGACAGTAACAGGAATAATGATGACAGTAACAGGAATAATGATGACAGTAACATAAATGACATGATGACAGTTAAAGGAACGACATAATGACAGTAACATGAATGACATGATGACAGTAATATGAACGACATGATTACAGGAATGACAAGATGACAGTAACAGAAAAGGCATGATGACAATATCAGGAACGACAGGGTGATTGTAACAGGAACGTCAAGATGACAGTAACAGAAAAAAACATGATGATAATACAGGAACGACAGGGTGATTGTAACAGGAACGTCTAGATGACAGTAACAGGAATAATGATGACAGTAACAGAATTGACATGATGACAATATCAGGATCGACAGGATGATAGTAATAGGAACGCTAAGATGACAGTAGTATAAACGACATGGTGACAGTAACATGAACGACAGGATGACAGTACTGTAACAGGAAAGACATCACGACAGTTACAGTAATGACAGGATGATAGTAATAGGAAAACCATGATGTCAGTAACTGGAATGATAAGATGATCGACAGGAACATGGATGACGTTACGTGAGTAAAATTAATAACAGGAAGACAGATTTAAGGAATAAAACGATGACAATTACTTGAATGACATGAAGAAAGTGACAGGGATTGTTTATAATGCCTAAAGGACGACCTTGCGGTTGAACCAAAGTATGATCATGAAACAGAGTTTTCCAATATATTTTTTTTTGACAAAAACAATGACAAGATGGGTATTTAGTAACTGCCCAAAATGCTTTTCGTCAAAAACAAAATTGGAACAGATATCTTGAACAGTGATGGATTCGCTTTTACAATTGTCAATTACCAATGTCATTTTTTACCAAGACATTTTTCTTGACGTCATATAAC